TTTTGGGAAACATGTCTGGGCTTTGGTCTCTTCTAGTCCTCCATATACTATCCCCAGGTTTGGGCCCCATTCTAGTGACACATCTGCCTTGGTCACTTCAAGCAAACCTCTTAGTAAAAGACCTGTACAATCAAATGTTTCTTGTTGATCCCTCAGTTCTGTTACCTCCTACCATCATCCCCTCCCTCTTCACAATGATGCTGTGTCAAAGAAGATTGGCCTCTAAGCAACAAAAGCTACTCACATAATAGATATTTTTGGTAATTTAATATTTTGTTTTCCCCCAATTACATGAAAAGACAATTTTTTAAAAAAATTGAGTTCCAAATTCTCTCCCTTTCTTCCCTCCCCATCTCATTGAGAAGACAGATAATTTGGTGGAGGTTATATATCACATAGTAGATTTTAAAGAGAGAATCAAGTTCTGTTCTGTCTTCCTCTTTTCTAAATGTGAGACTTGGGACTCCTCTGGAATTCATGTATGAGAAGGTGATTTTGTCTTCTCTCCCTCCTACCCTCGAATAAGTGGCAGCAATTTTGTCTGCCCACACAAGTGTATAGGTTAATCTTCATTTGGATCTCAAAGCCCAAGCTGTCTTTTCTGTGTTTGGTGGGTGGGAGGTGGGGGTTTGCTTTTTTGATTTTTTTCCCCCTGAACACAGGGGAAACTCTGAACACAGGACTGTGTTCCCCTGAACACAGCCATCCTAGATAGCCTAGTGGTTATCTTGGGAGCTTGGAAGTACCTAGATTCTTCAGCAAGTGTCTGTCATTCTGTGGGAGGTGCTTCCTACAGCTACTATCTAACATTTCTCAAGGAAGATGGTCATCCAAAGAAAGATAGCACTAAGGCATACTTTGGCTTTTCAAGCAACATGGGCCTTGAGGTAGCTGTTTGGACATTGCAGAGCCAAAGCTAAGATGAAACTTTTAGGGCTTTAGATATTTGTTAGCAATATGTCATGAACTTTTTCTTCATTTTAAGCATTTCTTTTGAGTTGGAGGAAAATAAATATGTCCTATACTTGATATACTTTGTACCTTGAATACCATTCCAGAAGAGACTCTGTTAATGCCTTTTGGAGATAACCCTAGATGTGAGCTGAACCTAAGCTTTAAGCAATTGCCCCAGAGTTCTGTTGGGTGCGGGGTAGATGTATTTGATGAGCCAGAGACCATGAGAAAAAAAAACCCTGACTCCTCTCTTCAGATCTCAGACCCATTCAAAACTGAACCTGGTCTATGGTTATCCAAACCTGAGTCTGCTTAGTAGAAAAGAAAGACCCAGGCCCCTTTAGTGAGTGGGTCTATGGGCTGTCTAGTGTTCTATCCTTCAGTCTCTAGAGTAGGCAATGGACTATCTACTGTTCTCTGACATAAGATTAATGAATGAACAAAACTAATAGCAAAGAGATGTCAGGCTATAGCAGGGGTTCTTAAAACTGGCATCTGTGAACTGGTATTTTTTATAAAAAAAGGAGTAAAGAAAAAAATCTGATTTCAGATAGAAATAGAAAAGAATCATATTTCAATGTAATTGGTTTTATTTGTAATTATATGCATATTATTGTATACATTAAAAAAAAGATTATTCTAAGAAGCGCATACAGGTTTTACCAGATTGCCAAATGAGTGTGTATATGACATAAAAAGTGTTAAGAATTGCTAGGCCAGAGTAGGTGAGGTAGCTGAGACCCAAAGAAGTTAACCAACCTACACATACAAAATACTGGCAGGTTTAGTTCACACAGACATTCACAGCCAGATCCCAGGCCCAGTGATTTCTAGGCTAATTCTCTTGTCACTGAACAATGCAGCTCAGAAAGGGCATATCTCAGTGGCTGAGCATTTGACTGCAAAATACTGTTCAGTTCCCTCAGCTGTAAAATGAGAGGGTTTGCCTAGATGTTCTCTAAGGTCCCTTCAGCTCTAAAATTCTATGATCCTAGGAAAGCAATAGAAACTTTCTAAGAGTTCCAAGGAATTCAATAAAGATAATTTTTCTACTTCTATTAAAAAAGGGAAATTGCTCTGAAGCTTCAAAGATCACATCACAATTTATTAAACAAGAAGGGATATATTCCAATGACTGCTCAGAATAGGTAAGAAACACCTGTCATTCTTTTGGCATCTATGCTTTATAACAATGACTAATCTTTCAGGCCATGACATTATATTTATGATGAACTTGGACTAGGGTCTATAGTATGCTGCCAATTAAGGTGTTGAAATTGCAAAATCAAGTGGAATAAATCATCGAATGGGAACAAAAAAAGCATCAAGTAATCAAATCATGGAGTTAGAAAGGAGATTAGACTTATTTTAATCCAAACCCATCATGTTGCATATTTATGTTAAATATGTTTCTGAGACTTTATGTTTCTACTTAATGGTTACAATATACTTTTCATTACAACCTGAGTGTGATTTTGGTAAGCTTTAAGTAAGTCCACATAGACCTTAAGCCTTGTTTCCATATTTGGTAGCATGGCACAGAGTTATTCTGTGGCACAGATATGATGCCGTGTATGAAGCCATACATTAATGTCATTTTCTATTTTCTCATTAGTAACAAGATGAAACTGCCCAGTCTAGTTGCTAACAGATTTAAAGACTCATAGAATGTTATTCCAAATCCCTCCATTTAGTGATGACATAGATTTTGACCAGGAAGGGAAGTTGGAGGATTGATTTAACCCCCACCCTTAATTTACAGATGCTGAAACTGGAGCACAGAGAGGTTAAGTGACTTGCCCTGAGTCATGTAGCTAAAACTACAATCCAAGTCACCTTCACTACAAGTGCAATGCCCTTTCAGTTAGACTACACTCAGGAAAATGAGGATATCTTGAACCTGAACATGAAGGTAGTATTTAACTTATAGCAACCACATTGTTTCTGTTCAGTCATTTTAGTCATGTCTGACTCTTCATGACCGTACTTGGGGTTTTCTTGGCAATGATACTATAGTGATTTGCCATCCCCTTCTCCAGTTCATTTTATAGATGAGCAAATTAAGCAAACAAGATTAAGTGACTTGCCCAAGGTCACACAGCTAGTAAATGTCTGAGGCCGGATTTGAATTCAGGAAGAATAAGAGTCTTTGTGACTCCAGACCTGGCATTTCACTGAGCCCCCTAGCTGCCCTATTGACTTATCCCACAATTCTGTGTAAGATGTCACAAAATTTACACTCGCAAAGAAGGTACAGATTGCAAGATGTACAATATCATTGCATCATGGCTTGAGCAGATTATCAGGTATCCAACTACGTACCTGTGTGCCTCTTTTTCTAAAGTATGTCTATTTATTCTTCTTTCCTGATAGGGGTGGCACTTTAGGTAGTCAACTGGTCAGTAAGCATTTATTAAGTGAGGCTGTACACACAGCATTGTGATAGTATCTAGATAGTATAATTTTTAGGGGCATTTCAAGTCCCAGGTTTCCCCCAAATATCTCTACACCAATAGAAATGAACTTGATTTGTGGCATCACACTTTGAATTATATTATCAAACTGGACTTTGATCAGGGGGAAAATGATAGATAAGGGGATCTAAACTGTATCATATCAGTAATGGTTGATCAAACTAGAGAAGAAAAGACTTAGGATGAACTTGATAACCATCTTCACGCATTAGAAGGATTATGTATCACATGGCATATTAGACTCACTCTGTGTGTTATTTTTCTTTAAACTTGTGATTTTGTTAGTGTAAGAAGCAGGCTTTTTCAGATTATTCTTCAGATTAATGAAGGGAAGAGCTCAGATCCAAAGGAAGGGCCACAGTGTTGTTTACTTTGTCCAGTGGAAACACGGTACATGGTGCATTGGAGCTTCCTGACCCACAGTGGACCAGCTTAGGTGTGTGGTTGTGATGGTACTGGGGGAGGTAGGGGAGGAAGGGTGTCTAGAAAGTAGAGCAAAAAAGGGGAAGCTCTCTCTACTTTGGTGCCCTACTTATCTTACAGACATCACACAGTTCAAAGGCAACACCACTGGTGCAGAGAACATTTAAAAATAAGCATGCAATTCAAAGTTTGGAGAATTAAATCATAATTGGGTAAAAGACACAAATTGTTTTGCCTCACTAGCCTATGGACTTAATGATTTCAACCAAATACACATGAATAAATAACACAAAAATATTTCCTACTAGGAAAAGGAAAAATAAAGTGATACATTTGTGAGGGCAACTCTTGGTTGGCTTTCATTTCTTATACAAAATATTGTAACACTTTTGCTAGTAGCAATAATGGTAACTTAAAATCAATTTTCTTAAAATAGTTCAACTCAACAAAGATTTATGAAAAGGTCTTTTATTTGTAAGACAATACTAAGGGCTAGGCATAAAAAGTTAGGATGAAAAGGAACTCCTGTCCTTGGGGAACCTACATTTTCGTGGGTTGAAGCAACATATACATAGGTAAGTGTAAAGTACTTAGAGGAAGGAGACTGAACTGGCAATTAGGAGGACCAAGGATGGCTCTCTGTAGGAGGTGGCACCCAAATTGATCCTTGGAGGAATTTATAGATCCTGAGAGGTGGATGAGAAGGGAGATTACATTCTGGTTATGTGAGTCAGTATATATAAAGGTGAAGAGGAGAGAGACAGAATACAAATACCGGGGAAGAGCAAGAAAAGCTGTTTATTCAAGAATGTAAAGTGTAAAGGAGAGGAATATGAAATAATTGCGTGGAAAAATAGGCTGCAGTGTATGGGAAAAGGATTCTGAGCTTATTGATTTTTCCATACGTCTATAGTTTAGTATCGATGCAAAGGGCTCTGGGAAATTATTTTTACTTCAGAAACTCTGTTATCTCTACTCTGGCAGAGCAATGGAGATCACCACCTTAACTTACTTTAACCATATCCTGTTAATGTTGCTTGTTCTCAGATATGTTCTAAACAAATCAATTCCTATACTCTTGACCCAACTCTATACTATCCTCATTTATTTTCTGAATTTATATTGACCTATTTTTTTTAAATCTTCTAGAACCAGTGGGAAAGACAATGAAGTGAGCAGTAACCAGGAAGAACCTCTCTATGGCATCCATTTATGTGATTGTGACTGGGCTCTTCTCCTACACTTGCTAGACTAAAGAATGCTTTGACTAAACAAGAAACATGAAATACTCAGCTAAACTTTCGACAAATGAGAATATGAAATGCCAAGGTAAAGAGTTTGGATTTTATCCTGGAGGCAACAGGAAATCATAAAAGAATTTTGAGCAGAGACTGGATAAATAGGAGATAGACGATAACATAGAGAGAGGCAGCTAGGTGGCTCAGTGGATAAAGCATGAGGCCTGGAATCAGGAAGACCTGAGTTCAAATCTGGGTTAAACACTAGCTGTGTGACCATGGGCAAGTCACTTGACCTCTGCTTGCCCTGGAGGCAGCTAGATGGCTCAGTGGGCACAGTGCTAGGCTTAGAGTCATGAAGTTGTTGTTCAGCTGTTTTAGTCATGTCTGACTCTTTGTGGTTCTATTTGGGGTTTTCTTGGCAAAGATACTAGAGTGTTTGCCATTTCCTTCTCCAGATCATTTTATAGATAAGAAAACTGAGGCAAACAGGATTAAGTGGCTTGCCCAGGGTCACATAGCTAGGAAGTATCTAAGGCTATATTTGAACTCAGGAAGATGAGTCTTCCTGACTCTAAGACAGGTGCTCTATTCACCATGCAATCTGGCTGCCCAGAATCAGGAAGACCTGAGTTCAAATCTGGTGTCAGATACTCAACATCTGTGTGACCCTGGGCAGGTCTAACCTCAGTTTGCATTAATCCACCGATGAAGGAAATGGCAAACCACTCCAGTATCTTTGCCAAGAAAAGCCCATGTACAGTTTGGTCCATGGGGTTACTAAGAGTCAAACAAAACTGAATGACAACAAAATGGACACAAATGGCCCAAAAGGGCTTAATAATACTCACTTCCAGTTACTCTTTTTTCTTTCATGACTATAAATTTATTTGCCAACTAGAAAACATAGGTACTTTCTCTGAACTTTCCCCTGGCCACTGGAAGTTTCCCACCCAAGTATCTTACACAGCTTAAGTTTACAATCTGGGAAAATCTGATGCCATAATTGTGTTCACACTGCTAATATCTGCTAATCTCCATCACAGTGCCAAGGTGAAGGGAGAGAAAATCAAGTTAACCTGGTCTGGTGGCTAGGATCATATTATTGCTATGGCAATGGTTGGAAGACAGAGGAGAGCTGTAATCAACATATACAAATCTATGATTCTGTTTATCTTCTTGGCCCATCTCTGTTTTGATCTTCTCTCTACCCAGTTCCCAAATTCTTCATATATTCTGTAGGTGCTGCTGTAGTAACTCTTTAATTTCCTACAACTCATTGAATGGATATGCACATTGTGAGAAAAGGCAGTTGGTAGAACTATCAGTAAACCAAATTTCAGGGAAAATACATCAGGTTGTTGTCATGCTGGTGAGTTTTTTGTGTGATTGTCAGGGAGATGTTGGTGAATATGGTACTCTGATGCTCATGAGTGCTAATAAATTGTACGCGATGTCCTATAAGGACCAGACAACCACAAAGAACACTGCCCACTGGGCAATCTTTCCCCATTGGCAAAGCTGGATTAACTACCTCATCTTTCTATACACTTGGCATATATGCATGTGTGTTGTTGTGTTTGCATCTACATTTCAATGTCCCAGTGAACTTGTCTGACCAATGTTCTAAGCAATGATAACGAACTTTTAAAAAAAAGTCATAATCAAGGAATTGCGTACAAAGAAGACTAGAGATCTGAGTTTAAATTCATGTTTCAATATTTAGTATAGGACCTCACACAAGTCCCTTATGCATCTTGAGCATGAGTTTCCTCCTGTACAAAATGGGGATGATAATAATTGGACTAACTAGCTCGGAGTGCATTGTCAGGGAAGTTCTTTGTAAGCTTTTAATTGCTAAGTAAATGTATCATCATAATTATTTTTATTATTTTTGATAGACGACCCAGAAAAAATGCTATTGTTTTCAAAGAAAAAATAAATGTCTTTGTAAAGAATCCCCTCGAGTCTTTCTCAAATGACTCACTTCCAAATTGTCAACAGAAACCTCTTTTTAAATTATGATACAACAGATCTTTCTTGCATATCAAAGCTAGCCCTAAATGTAATTAACATTATGTACAGAATGTCCCAAAAGTCTTAGTGCTGATTTAAATGATTAAAGCTCAGATCAGCACTAAGACATGGGACCAGGAGGAAGAAGAGAGAGAGACAGAGAGAGAGAGAGACAGAGAGAGAGAGAGAGAGAGAGAGAGAGAGAGAGAGAAAGAGAAGAGAGGTTTTTTTTCCTTCTGTTTCTCTATATGGTCAAGGGGAAGTACTTCACTAAACCTCAATTTCCTTTTATGTGAAATGGGCATAATAATATTTGGACTACTTAGTTTAGAGGGTGGTTATGATGAAAATGATTTGTAAACCTTAAAGCACTAGAGAAATATGAATTACTCATTTCTTATTGGGAGTTTTCATAAAGGAGAAAGAAACAAAAATCTATCACCAAACATCATAACAGCAAAAAGCTTAAAGAATGAAATATGCACCATACTCATCTGACACAGTCTAGCTGTGTGACCAGGCCAATTTGTCCTATTCTGAAGATGTATATTTCCTGGTGTCTTTGCCTTTTTGGTTTTATTCTTAGAATTCTGTTTAATGAAAGGGCTCAAGAACCAATTTCCTTTTCTTTAGGTTCAGGTAAACAAGTTTCAAGTCTCTTAACTGGATTGAGTACTCAGAGTTGCATGCCTACATCATATATAAAAGTAGACTCTTGAAATGAACAAACTACAGTCTTTACCACCAATGATTTTCTCTTTTATCAAATGCTAAATTGATCAGAAGTCCAAGTGTTTGCAGTTAGCAAGACTAGAGTGTTTTCTTAGCTAGAACTCAGTCCCCAGATTTTTCTGATAATTTTCACAAATAGCATTGGCAGACTTTCAGATAAAATAAAAACACATGGGAAGCATATTGACACATTAACCATGTTGAAAATTAATGGATTCCTGCTGCAAATATTTTTAAACTTAACTTTTTTTAAAAAGTTTTTATATAGGAGGATATATGGTCCTTTTATAGTCACTTATTTTCCAGGATGGAGAATTTTTTGCCAATAAGAGGAATAGCCTGCATCTCAAATGAGAAGAAAATTATTTGGGGATTTCCACAGGTCTTTTTAACTTTGTTATTATCACTTGAGATAGCGCCATTCTACTGTATCATGTACATACTCATATGCCTTGGTACATTTCTTTACTGAAGACTAAGAATGGCTGCACGATTATCTGGAGAATTGGAGGTTCCTTTATGTAGCAATTAGTTCTATATTTTAATAGGTCTGTGATTTCATGCATGCATGTATATGTGTACGAATATACATATGTATGTGTGTATATACAGGCATATATACATGTGTATGTATATGCATATGTATTTCTTACATGAGTGTGGCTTATATGAGAGGTAGTCTGATGTAGTAAATAGAAAGTCAGTCTTAGGTCAGGAAACCCTGTATTCATGTCCTTCTTCCTGCACATATTGCGTATGTGATTCTCTACAAGTACTTTACCCCCTCAGTGAGGTAGGAAGGTCTCTGAGACTATAAATCACAGAGTACTGATCTGCTTTGGTAGAAGTTTCCTTCCAAAGAAGACCAAAAAAATTATCACAGGTCTACCCCCTATCCTTATTCAATGTGATTCATAATCTACCCATGAGTTCTTTATCTTGGTTGACTTTTGTCCATACTCTTCTATAAGTGATCCATAGTGGATGATCAGCGTGTCCTTGAATAGTAAGTTACCTTTGTGGGTACATCTAGTGAAGAATCTAGTTACAAACTCAACATATGCATGAGAAAATCTCTTTTGGAGGGAGGGCCTTTAAGGCCCTTGGCTCTATCAAGTCTAAACTCATTTTTCCCATAGTCAAAAAACTATAAACACAGTAGGATTTTGTATTTTCTGAACTTCTCATTGTTGTGACTATGAAATCAGGGGTTTTAGAAGGTAATCATTTGCAAAAGACAATTTTCTTCTCAACATCAAGTATGTTCTTGATATTCATAGGTTATTCTCATAAGGATATTGCAAAGTTAAGGAAATCAGAATACTGGTTAGCCATTAATGTTTTCTTGATTATTTGGGGAGTATTTACATAACCCTTTATTTTTCTATTTACCTTGAATCCTCTCCTTCAGATGATGTGAAGTTATCCATCAGTGTTCTCAACCTTGTATCAGCATCAGGATAATATGCTATTCAAATGAGCCACATCAGCCCCAAAACATTCATTTATCAAGTTGTTAGGAGAATAAGTAGATATGAAATGGAACAAACCTGAAAGTTTTTATGATGATTTATTTTCATTGTTATCAAGATTTTAGAAAACCATGAATACACTTGCACACAATAATGAAAAACTAAATGAACAGAACCAAGAGAATGTGTACACCATAACAACAATATTGTTTTAGGAACAACTTTGATAAACTAAGACATTTTGACTATTATAAATACCCTAAATAAATAAAGGAATTCTGAAGGAAGATGCTATCTGCACTCAGAAAAAGAACTGATAAACAGAAGAATAGTTAGAATGATTTTACATATATGTACATATATATGTAAACACACATATACACACATGCATGTGTGTTTACACATATACATACAGACATATTAATCTCTAGTGTGGGGGAGAGAAGGAAGAAAGAAAGGAAAAAATACAGTTACCTGATAATTTTATTATATATTTAAAAGGAATAGCAAGTTGTACACAATGATTTTTTGTTTCATGTATGATTATCTTTTTTTTCTATTCCACACTGTGTTATAGAAATGCTTGTTTTATTCCTTAAGTTCCAAATAAAATAAATATGTATGAGTGAAAAAACAAAGAAATAACCATTGGGACTGAACACCTTCCTAGTATGCTACATCAAGAAATACAAATAAAGCAGATGAATCCAGAGACAGAAAAAGCAACTTGACTATATCAAATGTAAACAGTGTGGCAAATCAGATAAATCTGCACCAAAACTTTTTCAAAAGACAAAGAAATTCACCTTTGCCTGATGGGTTTAGTTGCCAAATTTACCTTTGTTTGAGCTGTTTAGTTGCCTTTTTTTTT